GAAACGCAGGCTCAGGAGAAAGTGTCGGGACTTCGAGGAGCCCCGCATTCTGAAAAGATTCGGACATCGGTTGTCTGGGTAGACATCCTCCATGCTGACCTTGCCGGCGCTCCAGGACTCCCGCCCCGGACTCCCGGTCGTCGTCCTATCGTCCGAGCTCGTCGTCATCCGCACCGCCAGAATCCAAGCAGTGGGTCGGCTCTCAAAGCCTCCCGACAGTCGTCCTTGCCCGAGCTCGGCCTCAGCTTGCACATTCGGCTCTGGCCGAGTCTGTCGGGGCACGCGGGCGCAGCGAACTGATTAACTCCATCGGGGATCTCCGAGGACAAGCCAGGGCGTTGGAGCCCAGCGGGGCACTTTTTTTGCCGGTTCCGTCTCCGTTTTTGTGGCGGCTCCAGCACCGTCTTTTTTCCGGCTCCCGTTCCAATCCTGGAGCCGTTTTGATTGCCGTTTCCGGTCGCTTTGTTTTGCCGCGCTTCCGTTTTCAAGCGGCATTTGTTCGAAAACGGTGAAAAAAAACGGCCTTGCCGTCTGCGGGGCCCACTGAGCGTTGGAGGTAGTTCTGAGGCCCTCTTCAGAGGGGGTGCTCTCGTGGGGCTGGTATGATGCTCGAGCGGGAGGCCCGTGCGCTGAGAGCTGGGGCTCTGAAGATGGGCGCGGTGAGAGCACTCCTGGGAGCTGGAGGTACAGATAGGAGCTCGACCACAAGAAACCTTTCACAAGAAACCCAGCCCGAAAAAGCCAGGACGTTCATTGATTTGGGGCGTCTGAGCGCCACGCTGTATTCCATCGCAAAGCCATCGAAGCCCAAGAAACCCAAGGCCCCCCTGGAGGCAAGCGGGGTGTTTCTTGCCTTGGGCTTCCACTGTGCCCGATGATGATGATGATGATGATGATGATGATGATGATGATGATGATGATGATGATGATGATGATGATGATGATGATGATGATGATGATGATGATGATGATGATGATGATGATGATGATGCTGATGATGATGATGATGATGATGATGAGATGATGATGATGATGATGATGATGATGATGAGAAGGAGGAGGAGGAGGAGGAGGAGGAGGAGGAGGAGAAAGAGGAGCAGGAGGTCCCTCGAGGAGTAGGAGGAGGAGGAGGAGGAGGAGGAGGAGGAGGAGGAGGTGCAGCTGGATGGCGACAACGACGTGGCCCCGCGCTCCCCCCTGCCGCGCCAGGTGGAGCAGCTTGAGAAGCTCAAGGAAAGCAAGAGCAGGACAGACTCCCGCGGGCCGGGCCCCCCCGCACTATACCTGCCCTGCCCCGCCCCGCCGCCGCGGCTGCGGCCCGCTTCTCCTCTGGGAGCCTGCCCAGACATCGAGCGCCTCGAGCACAAAACATCGAGACGGCGGTGTTGCTCCTCGTTCTCGGCCCCTCGGGGCGCTTGCCAGGGGGCCGGGGCCGTGAGCCAAAACACTCGGGGGGGTGACAAGCCCCTTCCTTGGGGGAAGCGGGGCCCCAGGGATCGAGGCGCCGGATGTCTGGGCCTGCCGCGGTCGTTCTTGGCGCTCGCGGCGGTGCTCTGGCTCAGCGCGGTCGTCTTCGTGGCGCCCGTGGAGGTGTCCCAGGATGCAGGGGTGAACTTGTTGAGTTATATATATATATATATATGTATATATATACACATATATATACATATGTGTATATATTTCTCATATATATATATATATATATATATATATATATAACTGCCTCTGCCGTGCGTGGCAGCACGTGGCCAGGGGCGTCATTCGGCCCAGCGTGCCGCGCCGGCGGCCCGGGCGGCGACCGCGCTCCGGGCGCGGCGCGCTGCCCACGGCTCGGCCCGCGGGCGCCCGCGCCCGACGAACTGTGTGGAGCCTCCCGGCCCGCGGCGCGTCCTGGCGCCAACATCGCAGAGCGGGCTTCGTTCGGATCGGCGGCGGAAAAGAGGGGGGTGATGACTAGGGGGGGGGGATATCATGGCGCGGGCCATGATATTTCCCCAGATTTCATGGCGCCTCTTCTTATTTCATTACGTCCCTGGCCCCCCCGCTGGGCCGCGCACGTGCCGCCGGTCATGATTTGCACCCCCCCCTCTTGGACACCCCCCTCTTGGCCGCTCCCGACATAGTGTCCTGGAGATTGTCGTTCCGGATTCCTCTGTCGCGCGGACTCTTGTTGGCCAGGCGTGAGCTTTGAGGCATCTTCGCGGGAGCCGTTTCGTTTTCCACTCGCCGCTTCGGGGTCTCGCGCTGGTGCAAACGTCCGCTGCGGCACGTCTGCGAGGTCGGCGCAGTGAGCGGAAAGGAGTGACGTGCTGCCCGCTCGCAAGGCACGGCGCGTCGCCGAGCCGCCGCCCCGACGCGCTATCGTCCCAAAGTCCCTGGCCGGATAGGCTCGGATAGGCCGCAGGCGCCCCGGCCTCTGGTGCCCGAGGCTGCCTGCGCCCCTCCTCGCGGCGAAGACCCTGCGCCGGAGGCCTCCCGCGTTCCTCCTCCGCTGCCGCCCTCCGCTGCTCCCAGACATGGTACCGCGTCGCAGCAGAAAATCAGGACGGGAGATTCTTGGCTATTTTCGGCCTCGGGTGGGCCCTCGCCGGGCCTCGGGACCGTCAGAAAAAAACGATACAGGACGAAAAACAAGCCCCGGGGAAAGGGTCGGGACTTCCAGGGACGACGTCTTCAAAACATCTGGACGTCGCGCGTCTGGGCTCTGATCGGGCCAGGACGAGGGATACTCCGTTCCAGAGCATTCTGGAGCGCTCTCAGAGCCTCCAGGAATGCTCTAAGAGGGCCGCGGCGCCCGAGACATCCTCCGGAGCCGCCGGATCTCAGAGACTGTCGATCTATACTCACCCGACGTTGGCCTCGGTTTCGTCTTATCTTCCCCGAGGCGCAGTTGCGCGCCCATGGTTTGGGCGCGACCCGCCGGCTGTTCGCACGCGTGGGCTCCCGCCCTCGCTGATGGCAGAACGCGCCCCTGCCCCCCGCGTCGCAGGGCCGCCTGCCTTCCCGCTCCCCGTGCCCCCCCGCATCGGCTGTGCCCCCGGATTCGCGCGTCTTCGGACCCGCCTCGGCCTCGGCCTCGCGACGCTTGGCGTCGTGGTGTGCTGCTCGCTGGCGTGGGTCCCCAGAGGCCTGGACCTCTCCAAGGAGACGGGCCCTTCATTCGGCGGCGGGTTCGGGGGGGGAAGTGAGAAGGGGCAGGCTCCTCAGAAGGCTCGGAAGTCCCCCGGCCTTCTGAGAAGTTTTTTCGGCCTTCCCCGGAAACGCAAAAAACATTTTTTCAAAAGGTTGGAGGTCTTCTGAGAAGCCCCGCCGTCTTCTGAGAAGGATTGGCGACTTTCCAAGGTTACCCTTGCATCTTTGCCCGTTCGGCCCATCCTTAGCGACTTACGTTGGCCAACCTCGTTCGTAAACGTCAGCGTGGCCCTCCAAGCCCCTTGAATCTTTGCCGCGCATATTTTTTTCTACGGGGTGATTGTATTTCAGCCCCACCGTCCCACCATCCCCCAAACGCGCAAAGAAAGGGGAGTGGCGGGAGGGGGACGGCTTCTTAGAAGCACCCCCCTTCTTAAAAGACGCGGGCGGCTGCTTTTTATAACTGTTGGCGCGTTGACAAGACCGGCCGACTTGCTTCTACAAAATGGTATCGTTGTATCGAAAAGGTTGTTTTGCTTCTACGGGTGCTTCAAGAAGCGGCGCGCCCCTGGCTCCTTTGAAGGGCGGCCTGGGCGTTCTAAGAGGCAGCCTCCTTCGAAGAACCCCCCCCCCATCCACCCCCCCCTTCTGCGCGCCGCCAAATCCCAGTTGGGGATAGGTCTCGCGAAACTCAAAGGGAACAGCCCACATCCCCATATGTGGGGTGAATCATCCAGCGCGGCCCAGGCAACGACAGGTGGGGTCCGGATCGCTTCAACGATGCTCAGCCCGCGAGCCTGCCGGGAGAGCGCCCCTGGAGGATCGCGGAGGAGGCGCGGCTGCCGGTGGCGGCTGCACGTAAGAGTGACCGTTCGCTGGAGTTACTTTTTCGGGGGTGGACCGAATTCACACCCTGACACGTCGATTTGTGAATTTTCCGTCTTCGGTTCTCGAGAGGGCGCCGCGGCCGTCATTATTCGGGCTTGCGCCCGCCGGGTTTGGGACCGAGGTCGTTTTCACGAAACCGCGTTTTACTAAATGGGTTCTGTCCAGCCCCGACTTCTAAAACTTGTGGCGCGGGCACGCCTGGGGTCCACATGGATGGCCAGACGCGACGCGACAGCAGCGGCATGCGCCATCCGGTCTGGGCCTCGTGCGCTTTCCGAACGCCGCGCGCGGGACGCCACTCTTCAGGAGGGAAAAGGAGCACACAGACACGATGAATCGTCGACTCCCAGCAAAAAAAATGGGAAGTGGGGGGAAGACGAAAACCCAGAACATATATTGAAATATAGGGAAAACGGTCATTTGTATTATTTATTTGTGTGTCCCTTTGCTCCCTTAACTCTTGCCCAGAGGTTCCCTCCCTGCGTGCAGCCGATGGTGGCCGATCGTCCACTCATCGCCGATAGGTGTCCGACAGCCCGCCACGACCAGCCACGTGCGTCTGCGCGCCATCGTGGGCCTGTCGCCGATCTACCGGCGATGCCATGGGAGGGAACCATTTCACGAACACAAGCTCGGAGGTCCGCGCGGATTCCTCGGATCCGCGCTGGACCCCCCCCCCGTGGCGGCGCCTCCGGCGCCGCCCCTGGCGCGCTCCGCGCGCCCAGGGGGTGGGGTCAAGCGCCGATCTGGGAAATCCGCGCGGACCTCCGAGGTTTGATGTTTCTTTCACTGTTTGATGCCCTAGAGGCATCGCAGATTCCAACTCGACGATGTCCTCCCCGTGTGCCCGTCCCCCGAACGTTCCCCCATCGCGCGAGGGCGCCCCCAGAGGAGCGCGGAGGAGGCGCGGCTGCAGGTGGAGGAGCTGGAGCGGTTCCTGCCGCCCAGCGCCCGGGAGCGAGACCACGAGCCTGGGGGAGGCGCCCCCCACAACCCGCGCTGGGACTCGGGCCGCAGGGGTCGCCGATGCGGCCCCCTGCGGGCGGTTCTTCGGTCTGGAGAGGTGGACTCCTGGCGCTGCCCTCGGGGCGACAACGCCAGGACGAAGCCGGCGTCTCGAAGAGATCTGGACGGCGTGTCTTCACAGTTGTCGGCCTCTCGGGGCCCTGCGCGGGCCTCGGAACCGTCAGCAAGACTATCCGGGATGAAAAGCCGGTCCTGGGGAAGGAGGAGGAGGAGGAGGAGCAGGAGGAGGAGGAGGAGGAGGAGGAGGAGGAGGAGGAGGAGGAGGAGGAGGAGGAGGAGAGGAGGAGGAGGAGGAGGAGGAGGAGGAGGAGGAGGAGAGGAGGAGGAGGAGAGGGAGGAGGAGGAGGATGAGGAGGAGGAGAGGCGTCTGGCCCAGGCAGGGAGCCCGACCCTAGGCGTGCCTTCAGAGAGGCCGCGACCGACAAATTCTTCACTACGGCCAAGGAAGCTCCTTGGCATAGGCGCCAGCGCTTGAAGCGCACCAGCGCCCGCCTGCTTCTTGCCCTTTCCAAAGCTCGATCCCTCCTTAGGAACCACCACAGTTCCCCAATCTTTGCGATGAATCGCCAAGGAGGCCCCCAGCAGACATGGGACTGCGCGTGTGGCAGGTTTGTCAAGGGCCACCATTGGAAGTGTCTATGTGGTCGTCATTGGAGTCAGCGAGTTGTCCCTCGAGGCCCTGATCAGGAACGGCCCCGCGCGTCCAGTCGGACGCGGCAGACCATCCGTCAGGAGCACCAGCAGAAGGAGTTGAAGCGGGAAGAGCAAGAGGTGAAGCAGCTTATCGGCAGGGTAGTGACGATGAAAAGGTCGGAAGCGACTGAGGCAATGCGTTCTTGGGGTACGAGCAGGTCCCCACGGACGTGCCAGGAATCAAGTCGTACAAGACGAGGACGAAGCAGCGCATGTTCGAGTTGGGAAGGCTCATCATCATCAGTCGCAAGGCCGGCAAAGATGATCCACAGGGTTTCGTACGTGAGATATCGTGTCTCAAGTACATGATGAGCACGTGCGAGAAGCTTAATGACCAGCTAGCCGAGTTGAAGCCGAAGCGAGATAGGTGTCAAGAGCACATTCGCAACCTCTCGGTGAAGCTCGGAGAGTTACAGTCCGACTACAAGCAGTCAGAGACGGACCTGTATGCTTGGCAGGCCGCGATAGACGAGTTAGAGGAGCTGGAGGACTACATGGTCGGAGAAGATGCGCCAGGAGCACGCGGCTTCAGCACATTCATCCCGACGATGCAGATGGGGGCGGATCCGCGTACGGAGAGGGCGACATTCCCACCGCCGCCACCAGCCCCACAGCAGCAGTGTTCAGGCGGTCCCGTGCCCATGCAGCAGTGCAACATGGGATTTCCGCCATCCATGCCACCGCCGCCTCAGCAGAGAGTTGTGCCGCCAGTGCAGCAGCCGCCAGTACAGCAGCCACCGCCCCCGAGTGCTGAGGTGCAGGCGATCGGTGAGATGATCAAGGTACTCATTAAGAAGCAGCAGCAGACGGACCATCAGATGGCCATGTTGATTGGCCACCTCACGGCGACCAGTGCGAGTGCGTCGGCGGAGGAGCACGAGAGGGCCAAGTCGGAGGAGGGGGCGCACGGCCATCAGCAGCCGCCCATCGAGGTGCAGGCCAGCCCGACGAGCATCCCCGCGGCCCAGCCCGACATGCCCACGCCCGTGGCGGACCCAGGCATCGAGCCCACAGAGGTCGCGGAGGATCCATATGGGACACAAGGGGCCAAATCTGATGCTGAGATGATGCCAGGCCCTCAGGATATGCACTCCCCTTTTTTATCCCCTACCCAGCCCATGCATCCGACCCAGGGGATAGAGGGCCCGCTCCTGGCGCCGCCCGTGGGCCCTTCAGTTTTTATGACCCCCCCAGGGGGCAAGAGGAGCCCTTCAGCGCACACAGGGGAATCGCCGCCGAGGAAAGATCCACGGCAGAGCGAAGAGTAACTTTCGGGGAGTGCATGATTAGAGCCTTTCACCCTGGAGAAAAGTTGACCTCCTCCCCTCAGAGTTCAAGGTTTCCGTTTGTCCCCTCTTCTACTTACCCCAGTGAATTAAAATCATGTTTGAAGGCCGATTGTGGATCGCAGGCTCTAGTTTCACAGGCCCCTAATACAACGCAGCGCGAAGTCAGCACAGATCCGTCAGTGGGGATCCATAGACGTAGATCTGATGGCCACATGGGAAGGAGTGGGGAGGATCACGGTCGGGGGGAGACGGCACGTGACCAGGCCAGCCTAGTCGATCCTAATAGGGGTTTACTGTCCGATGCCCACGAGCTCGGACCACTTTTGTCTACAGTGGAGATTGAGGACCAGCGCCCTTGTTACAGCGAGGAAGTGCAGGGGTCATCGCCACGAGCATCCTTGTCGGTCAATGGGGAAGAGGACATGGGTCATATGTCCCCTCCCCACTTTTTTGAAGCTAGTCCTGATCAATCAGGAAGTTCCGAGGAGCATGCGGGCAGCAGTGAGCCCACAACCTTGCTTCCTTCTCCTCCTACGCACTTAAGGTGTCACTTCGAGCGAGGACCGACCATCCAGGAACTTGTCACCTCTGTGGCGGCTATGTCTTGGGTATTCGGGCTTCCTCAGGATTTGCCAGTGGAATCTTCTTGGGCTCTAGGGCTCTGTCCTCCGAGGGACTCCGTCTGGGACGAGGTCTCGTACTTTACCGATGGTTCGTTGCGACATGGGGATGACGCTTCTGGGGCCTGGGCCGCGGTCCGAATCGGCACAGATCACGTGGGGTGCTCGTTCCAGGGTGTGTGGGCGGCCCCCTTCTTGAGTTCCTTTCTGACCCCGCGCGGACGGGGCGGGCTGGACAGCACGGATGTCGAGTGCGCAGCCGTCGTCTGGGTTTTGATGGCGATCATCAGCGACCAGCACCACTCCCCAGCGGTCATTCACACGGACTCGCAGAACGTGTGCGACTATGTCTACGGTGCAGCTACGGTCTCGGAAAATAACAAAATTGCATGCGTGCTCGTGATCATGTTTGACATAGCCTTGACTCGCGCCAAGGAGAGATGGCCTACACACGACCCTCCCCCGTTGAGGATTTGCCACGTCAAGGGACACGAGGGGCACCCATGGAACTCCCTAGCAGACCACATTGCGGGTCTTGTTGGTTCAGAACAATGGGGGCCGTGTTTCGTTCCCCCACTGTGGGCCAAGGCCACTAAGCATGGGCCTGCTCGCGAATGGGAGCGGCTGGAGCGCCCGGCTCAGGGGTTGGCCCAGGCGTACCCCACTCCTTCGGTTCAAGGTTTTTGTGCGACCCCCGTGGCGTCTGAGGCTTCTGACGACCTGGGACATCGGCCCCCGCTCAAGTCCTCCAAAAGCTCCCACGCTTTGAGCATCAAAGTGGCCTCCTTCAATGCCAAGAGCGCAGCTGTTGCCAAGAGGAGGGGCAGGAAGGGAAAGCTCCGCTTCGCTCGCAATTTGGCTATCAAAACCCAGTTTGATCGGGAGGGTGTTTTACTACTGGCTGGGGTCCAGGAGGCCAGAAACCCACAGGGCGTTTACTCCTCTGGTGCGTACTATGTGCTTTCTTCGGGGCACGCGTCTCACGAGCTTGGGTGTGAGCTGTGGGCTAATACTAGGATTTCGTACGGCACTTGCAAGGGGATGCCCCTGTTCCTTGAGAGAAGGCACTTTCGTGTTATTTCCGCCAGCCCCCGATGGCTCCTGGTTGCCTTGAGTGCTCCTGGGTTAGTATGCAATCTGCTGGTCGGGCACGCTCCTCACTCAGGCGCTGGGGCTTCTGAGAGGGCTGCATTTTGGGACTCGATCCAGGGACTGCATGACAAGTGGGGCACCGATATGTGTTTCCTGGATGCCAATGGCAGGGTGGGAAACCTGCCATCGGACGCCGTCGGGAGCGCCGGCTTCGCTCAGAAACAGGATGAAGGGGGAGAGCATTTACACACCTTCCTGCTCGCCTCAGAGCATAGAGCTGTCAACGCATGGCTTGGCAGTCCAGACGATTGGACGTGGCAGTCGCCACAAGGGCTGAGGCATCGGATTGACTATGTCTCAGCGAAGACATGGCTTGCCAACCACGCCCTCACATCCGACGCGTTTCACGACATTGATAAGATTACGACACATGTTGACCACCAGCCAGTGATTGCCACGTTTGCGTGGCAGGCAGTTCAGGTACGCCAAATATCGTCAGGAAAGAAGCTTGACCGAGAGTCTTATAAGGACCCTCTGAAGCTCGAGGTTATCAAGCAAGAGCTTCGAGGGATCTCTGTAGTCCCCTGGCAGGTCCCTGTCTCAGAGCATCACGCATGCTTGTCTACAGGGGTCATGAGGGCAGCATCGAAGGCCTTCGGGGTTGCCCCTCGCAGACCTAGGCAGCCGTATGTCTCTCAGACTTCGGTTGATCTTATCACCGCCCGTCGAGGGGCCACCAGAGCCTTGAAAAAAGTTGCCCCTTTTCTGGACCAAATAGGGCCTCTGTACGGTGACGCGCTTTCCCACTTTTGCGGCAGATGGTTATCGGGGGATATCCTGGGGCTTGCTATGCAAGAGGGAGCGCAATTCTGGAGGCCTCACTACGATCTTATGGCTCAGGTGTTCCGAGGATGGGCCTCTGGCAGGCTTAATTGCTACGCTGTAGTGTTCGGGCTTCAGCGTTTTCTGATTGACGCCGAACAGCTCTTGGCCAAGGCATTGGAGCAAGACAGGTGCAATCACCTTGAGGCCCAGGCTGACGCGATTGCCGAAGCAAGGGATTTCGGGCTTCCCCGCTCGGAGTGGTCAAAAACCAAGGTTTTGATGCAGTTTGGAGGTCGCCCACCCAAGATCCCCACCACCTTTCCCTACTCGACCACTGAAGACGGCACGGCGCTGTGTACGGAGTCAGACGTGGCCAACAACCTTCAGCAGCAATTTGCCAAAGTTGAGAGAGGCAAGTTCGAGGATGCTGAAGGG